AGAAAAAAAAAAGGTTTCATTTTAACATAGTTCTATTCATAAAAGAAAAGAAAAACAACTAAACATTGGTAACACTTAATTAGCTTTTAATAAAATTTACTGAGTATTAATTTGTACTATGCCATTGAAAAATTTTTCATTGATTTCCGATATCTTCATTCAATAAATACGCGGAAAATTTTTCGAGCAAAGTTTTATGTATACTCCTATAGATGATTTATAAGTTCAAAGTAGTCTATTGTTGTTGTCTAGAATCAATTTAATCAAATAAATCTTAAGAAAAGAAAAAAAAAAAAATCAAATGAATAAAATAGACAAGACAAACGGAAATCGACAATTCTACAATACAAATAATGTAACCCCTTTAAACATCTGCGTATTTTGTTTGTCACTAATGAATAATTACATACATAAGAAAAGAAAAAAAATTATCAAATCTAAAAAAAGACAGTAAACAAAAACATTTATGAATGTTTGTCCCCTTTTCTTTTTTGTGTTCCTTCGTTTATCTGAGAACTAAATATTTATTAAGATGAACAAATGATTTTTTTTTTCATTTCTTTAACAAAATAATTATTTTTTTCTTTTGTTTTTAAAGTTTGAATATTTGATATTTAGTTTTATTATCCTAAGTTGACAAGGATTTGCTTCTTTTTTTTTTTTAAATAATTTATTAAATCAATTGTAAAGTCATGTAATCATATTGAAGTGACAAGCTTTGTCACAACCTACACATTTGAGTTTATTCAACATGTATATTCAATAAAAATTGAATAATGAGATACTTCAAAAACTTGTACGTCATTAATCGTAGAAAACTCTTAATCAAAATATAAAATATAAAAACTATTATTTTTTTTGTTATAGACATTAACCTCATTTTGTTTAGTTCACAGTTTTAGGTCCTTTTTTCTATTGGCTTTAGTTTTTACATTGACTACTTTCTCATTCAATAAGCACAGAAAATCTTTTTCTTCTTCCTCTTCTCATGTCATTTCTTTCTTCGTACGATTCTATCGACAGTCATAGGATACTATGTGAATATTATTCAATGAACATAATATAATTAATTAGTTCAAATTTGTTTTACTTATGAGTTATATTAACCGATTTCTTATTGGCGAACAACAACAACAACAACAACGACAACAACAACATAGTACACATTTTTCTGTTGGTACTAATGCTTTCACTTAGTATAGAGAATATGTCAGAGATTAATCTGGTTAATATAGAAAATCAAAATTCAAACAATAGTATAACTAATTTAATACCAGATTCTAAATTTTCAACATTACCATACAAAATTAGTTTGGGTTTTATTTTTATTTGTCTTTGTTTGTTAACAATAACTGGGAATCTTCTTGTACTCGTTACATTTCGTCGTATACGAACAGTGAGTATTAGAATATTCAATATCATAAGTATATAAATATGAAATATTTACTATATTGTTATGAAAAAAGAAATAAACATATTAGATTTTAATAATCAAAAAGTAATATTAATAATCATTTATAAGTTAAGAAATGATAATAATAATATTCAATACACTATATAGTTATGTATTAGTTGCTTAATTATGTTTTATATAAGAATACGAATAATAAAAGAAATCAACTGAAATACAACTAATGTAAACACTAGTATTCTCTATATCTAATCATTATTCTTTGAATTTTAGCGTAGGAGACGTTTTTTGTAAAGCATAACAGAAAATTTTTTAAGAATTCTTTTATATATATGCGCATTATTTATTATATAGGTGAATATTTTTTATCTATTTATAACTTTATTTAGGTGGGCAATCTCTTCATATTAAGTCTTGCTACTGCTGATCTAATTGTCGGCTGCTTTGTCATGCCCATTGCTGGAATATATGCTATTATGGAAGAATGGAATATGGGTATGTTATTTTTTTTTCTTTACTTCTTGCTTAATACAATTTGAGACCATTCCTATATTTTACAAGTCATTTCTCTAATTAAATAAAATAGACAATCTGTAATTATAATGGATGGAATTCACAAGCTACTGAATTCAGGATAAAAGCTTATTTGTAGCATTGTATGATAGAATGTATTTTTTGTCAACTTATAATATTAATAAAATAAATGTTCTGCTTGTCACTTCAATCAATAAATCCTAATTAATAAGAAAACATTTCTTTTTCGAATCAATAATATATTGTAGTTTGAATTCTTGCTTTAAACTTAAGGAATAAATAAAGTACAGAGTAGTTATTATGTTATGCCAAATAAGAAACTATCATAAAAGAAACAAGATTAAATAAATTATTTAGTATACAAGAGATATTGTTCATTAGATAAGAATCATCTAGAAGGAAGTATATGTTAATTTTCAATGAACAAAACAAAATTAATTAAATATCTAAAAATACATGTAAAACATCCTGATTCTAGTGAGGGGTCAAATCCTCTCAATATACATTATAAATAATAATATATTTAAATATAGTTTTAATCTTCGTTTAGGTCTTGTTCTATGTCAAATTTGGCTTTCAGTTGATTTTACTGCTTCAACAGCATCAATATTTAATTTACTCACATTAAGTTTAGATCGTTATTGGTCAATAACATCTCCACTTCAATATCTTGGTAAACGAACACGACCACGAGCATTATTATTAATTGGTTTTGCTTGGGGTTTATCACTTCTATGGGTTATACCTATATTTGGTTGGCATCGTTTTGTTAATAATGGTATAAGATATATTCCTGTAAGCATTCAAATTATAATTATATATAATAAATGTATTTGAAAATTAAAAAAAAAAATCTTCTCTTAAAATTTAGTCAACTAAATGTGAACCTGAATATACACATTCAATAGTATTTAAAGTATCAACAGCTATAATTAATTTTTATTTACCACTTCTTGTTTTAATATCATTAAATGCTCGTATTTATTATGAAATAAAACGACGTTATAAAAGTATTCTTTTACAACGACATTCAAATCAAATAAATGAATCATCAAGTAATCATAAATTAAATCCATCAACACGATATACTCGTACACCAATAACAATGACGATATGTGATAGTGAAAAACAATTATGTTCAACACCAATAAATTTAACAGAAAATGATAGTTTAATTACATCAAAACGTTCACCTATTAAAAATGAAAATAATTCAACATTACGTATTAATTTTAAAGAGAAAAAAAATCATCGATCTATTATATCAAATCATATTCCTATTAGTCAACAATCATCTTTAAAACGTACATATTCATTTGTTGAAACAAGTCCTTATACACAGGTAAATATTACAAAAAAAAAAAACGAATAACGATAAAATTTCATAGAAAAAAAATTCTCTTCTTGTTATATAGGATGGATATACATGGTGTAATAATCATGTTGATCATTCAGGTCCATTATTAAAACCAACATCACCAACAAAGTTACGTCCATATCGTTCGAGTTCAAAACATCGTCTTAATGTTGATGAACGTTGTTTCAAACATACACATGATTATCATTCATGTCGAATTTATTCTAATGAAGAATTTGGAATAATACATAAACGTCATAATGATTCGTATAATTATCATAAAACACAATGTCGTCCATCATCTCGTAATATAGCAAATCGAACAGCATTTGTATGTCGACGTTGTTCATTATCAGATACAATAAGAACATCAACAACAATGAATATATTTAATTTATGTCATTGTTGTTCAACAGCTACATCGGCTGTAACTATTCATTCACATTTAGAACCTTATCATCGTAATACAGCAAAACTATCATCGTCATCATTATCATCATTAACAAGTCGAAAACAGAATGCAATGTCTTCTTATAATTTAGAAAGAAATAGTACATCATCAAATGTATTATCTCATTCAAGTTTTACTATGAATCGTCGTACATCAAATAAAATTAAACAATCAACTATATGGAATCAACAAGAAAAAGCATTTCGACAATTATTTGCCATTGTATTTGGTTTCACATGTTGTTTTTTACCATATTTTATTTTATATATGGTTGTTGCTTTTTGTGGTTCATGTATATCTGAACGTATTGTTACAGGAACAATATGGCTTGGTTATGTTAATTCAACAATAAATCCATTTTTATATGCTTTATCAAATAAACATTTTCGACGAACATTTAATCGTATTTTAAAACGAGATCATAGACGACAATCATATTATAATTAAATATATAAAACAAATCAAAACAAAAACCACATGTTAAATATATCTTTTTTTTTTTTGTTTATTTATATATATTAATTCGACAAACAAGATTGATTGTAAAGAGATAATGATTTTAGCATGAAAAAAGGATGAAATTATTCTAAGCAAGTGAATTCGATTTGTAAAAACAAAAAGTATATCAACTTTGTTCTATTATTCTTATTGCTTGAATAAATTATGTTCTTCATAAAAGTATGGTATTCTATTTAAAATCATCAAGATATTTTCTTATTTATTTGTATCGAAAAAAGTATATTGAATTTGTAGGTTAAGAAGTTAAATGCTTTCGTAAATAAAATTTTTCTTTAGTAATACTTATCAATTTCATCCATTACTTATTTATACTTTTTAATATATATAGTGTTTTTTGTTGTTGAGATATTCATATTTATTAAGTAGGATTCCTTTTTAGATTATAAATTAAGAGTTCATAATCTATGAAAAAACAAATCATTGAAAATCTTCTTAAATAAAATCAATAGAAATTGTCCTACTTATATAAATGCACTTTCATATGAAAATAAATCTATGCATTCAATATATAGACAAATAAACATAAACGGATGTTTAATCAAGTACAAAAATAAATGTCATATTTTCCTACGATGAACATTTAATTCGTTAGACAAAGTGCATATACATAATGAGAGTAACATCAGGTAGAAACTTGTTTATCGTTTAAAACATTTTCTATTCAAGATAAATAATGTAAATATTTATTTTCTATTGTTGTTTTTTTATTGTTGAAAATACAATAATGTTTAGCTTTGTTGAAAATATTCATTCGGTGACCAATGATTAAGTCCAGTAATAATCCAACTATCATCTGAAGCATTTTTACTCATATCACGTAAAAATTTATAATTACAAACAATAATATTATCACGCATTTTTTTGACTGTTGATAGCCAATTTGAAAAAGCACTACCAGAACCTTCGAACATTTCTTCTCGATATAATTCAGGATTTTTCAATACATGGAAAATCATTGTTATTTCAACCATACGTGTATCTAGAAATTTTATTAAATTTTATTTAAGAAAAATTATTTAATTTCTTTATTTTACTTGCTTGTTCATCCATAATAAGACCAATAAGATATGGACAAGAAAAAATAATTTCTCCTTCTTCAACAGGAATTTGTTGTTTTTGTTGCGATGATAAATGTTCATAATTTTGTTTAACTTCATTAATAACCTAGATTAGATTTCTGTCTTTTTTTTTGTGTTTTAATGATTAATAAAATTATCTTTTTTTCTTTTGTTTTCAATTTTTTCTACCTCTCGTGTAACAAATCCAGGAAGATCATCAAATTGACCATTACCAATTAACTGTGAAACAACGGTTAAGGCTTGTCGAGCACCATCACAAAATGGTTTTATAGCAAATGTTGAATCAAAATGTCCATTAATAATTAGTCGAGAAAAGAAATTTTTTATGATGAGAAATATATTTGGATAAGCTATATGTGGAAGATCCATGAGCATTAATGGACGATAATGTTGATGTTGATGATGATGATCAGAAGAAATAGAACGAATATAAACTAATGGATAACGTTTAAACGATGAAGATTTACGAAGAGACATCATCAGAAATGATCGACTTAAAATCGAAGCCATTCCGATTTTTAAGACAATTACTAAAAATGATGAATTGGAAAAATAAATAGATTGACAGGTCTTATATCGAATCCAATCGAAAAGTCTGTTATGAATCTTTCGTCAACAGATGGCGTACTCTGATAACATCAAGTTCTTGTATTTTTATAATAAGGAATATATACGAAAGATGATCGTAGTTCTTGCAAAAGATCAATCTAACAACTTACTATTCATACAGATGATGGTTCTCAAATACTGTGAAGAACTTGACATGTAAACCTTTGTTTCTCTAGGTCATTGAGAAACTATCATTAGTGATATGATATAAAGTACAAAGGTTTTCATCGTGCGCATTTCCATTTGCAAATATTTCAAGCTAAAAATAACCTTTTTGAGAATTCAACATTGTGTTTTGTAGAGAATTCTTTATGCAACAAAATTTCTCCTGAACATGCTTAGATTTTTCAAAACAAATGGAGATTAGTTTGTTGTTTATGACGTAAATAAGTACGAATATTGAAATGAAATAACTTTTTGTAACTGAATAAGAAGTTCAAGAACCCACTTCTAAATAGTAAAAATCCTTATTGGAGATCTTGAGATAAATAGTAAGATAAAATATGTCGTTTTGAGACATGAACAGACGTCTAAACAATCAGATTTTGTGAAATAATTTTTCGAGTTTCGATCTAGCTGAATATTTTATCATAGAAATAGTTCATGGTGTCTAGTCGATTCTGATATTCTTGAACTTGTTTGTGATAAGAGTACAGTGTTATTCACTAATTATTTTTTAGTCAACAGTCAGTTAAAAGAGCCTAGATTTTTACAAATGTCTATGTTCAAAGAACTTATTCAGACAAATAACCATTGCAAAGAATCAAAATCAAATGAAAGATAGATCTGTCTCATTTTGCCTGAAATAGCTCATAGGAATTCCGGAATTTCGCCAATAAGACTTTCGCCAATGGACAAATATCCAGGAGGATGGATTGGCGAAAGTCGAATATATTTTCATTAATGAAAGTGGAATATTCATATCGTAAGTAATGTACCAGAGCTATGCCTAGCATTACAAAAATGTACCTCAAGTTATACAGTTGGACTTCATTCAAATATGAGGGTGTGGGTGTGGATGTAGATGTACACAAAACTCCCACCCTATCATACATATCAAATTTCTTACTAAGATATTGATTTGATCACATGTTAAGAATGTCATACTTCACACTGATTCATAAACAACCGTCATCCGTCAGCTATTTCAAATAAAATCTAAAACTATGGATAAACTTATGAATATAACATTGATGAATATCTACTAAGAATTTAGTTGATATCAATTTCTCTATTCAATACTACTGTTCTACTTAAATTCATGAAAGTTCATTGGAAATCCGCCAATTGGCGAAAGTACAGACGTTATATTGGCGAACTTCCGGTAACCCGGCTCAGAATAGCAAAACCTAATGAATAATACTTCTTGATAAAAGCCATTGTATGAAGATTTTTTTGAGAACAATTATTCACACATAAATTATTCATCATTGGAATGACATAAAGCGATACCATAAGAAGCATTCTATCACTGTGAAACTAAGACAATAGTTACATTTTGTAGATTTTTTCATCATAGAAACAAATTATCAGAAATATATCTAATTAAGAATTCTATTGTATTTAATTAATTGAAATGAAGTTTACAAAGAGAAATTTATATGCAAAGCAAGAAGATTGCTAATGCATATAACAAACGATAGTTTACAATTACTTAAACCTTTAGATATAAAACCATTCATTCGTAGATAATTTTTAGCAGCTTTTGTCCAAATAACATAACCTTGTCCATTCATATGTAAATTATCTGATATGAATAATTCTGATCGAAGTATTCCATCTGATGTTAACATTTGATTAAAAATATCAATATAATCAACATTATTCATATTTTGAATATCCTCTCGTATAAGATTATTAGTTATATTCATTTGAATGATTTTATCATATCGCCTTGGATTGGGTTTTATTGAAATATAAACAATCGGTAATAATGAAACAAATCGACGAATTGTTAATATAAATTGTATATTTGTCGGTGTTTGATTATTTGTTATATCATTTTCACCAGCATAACAAAGTAATAAACGTGGTTCTAATGGTAAAATAATACGTTTAAATTGTTGCATACATTGTTTAAGTGTTGATCCACCAAAATCTTGATTAATAACATTAATTTTAATATCAAAAAAATCTGTTATTAATGTTGACCAAAAACGTATTGATGAACTTCCATAAAAAAACAATCGATTGCTGTTCAATATTTATTAATGATTTATCAAATTTTACTAATTCATCTTCATATCTTGTATTAGAAAGTATTTCATGCGGTTCTTCATCATCAATATACGTACAATTTAATGTATTACATGTATAACGAATAGATTCAGATGAATTACTTATATGAAATAATGATGTACATGAATCGTTCAATTATCGATTCCAGATGATATCACCATTTGAAATTTGACGATACGAAAAACAAGAACTTCTATTTATAGGAAACACCTAATCTAAAAATAAATTTTCACTAAAAATAGTATACAAATGTTTTTTTTTTCTTATTATATCAAATACTTGTAAAAATTTGATAAGCTTCTTGATTATCAATTTTATAAATAGCAACGATATAATTTATCTAAATAAACAAAAATATAGAAAAAACAAATAATAGAATACTATCATTATCAAACTCATGTATAATTAAGATGATTTAAGAAATTTATTGTAATTCTACTGTTACTATAAAAAAAAAAACGTTTGACCAAGTTATTTCGAATAATTTTGTTGATTATTATTCCATTCAGATATACACCATAAACCACGAAATTTAATTGGTATTTATTTGTGAATATGATTCTAAATATATCAATGAAATATAATTTATTTACAAATTTGATTTTTTTTCTTACTTTGACATGAAATAATTTGAAAGACTAGAAAAATACAAATACTTCGATTCAGTGCTTTTTTTTGTATGTTGTTAAATGATTATTTATATGTTTGAATTACTCTTATTCAATAGAAATGATATTTATGATTTGATTAATATAATAAATAATCTGTTGAATATTTTAAATACACAAAAAAGTTTACAATATTTTTTTTACAAATTTTAAGGTTAAAATATTATTTGAATTTGTAGTTGTCGATAAGAATGAATATCAAAATATATAGAATATCATTCTTATAAGAATTAGTATGTTTTTCTTTGAATTCTGCATTTTATGTAAACTTGATTTACTTGTGATAGGTTTTTTTTTCTTTTATATGCAAAATATATTCTATATTTATAATGCTCTTTCATTGAAATAGATTACGGGTTATTTTACTCGTACTAAACAATAATTTATTGATACAAAAAACAAAAACACGTATATTCAGCATTTGAATGCTATTGTATAAGTTTGGACCACACTTTTTCCATTTGAAGAGTAGGACTTAAGTTATTATTCTAGAGAAATTAGATATAATTTACATGAAACTCAAAAGAAAATCCTACATTACTAAAAATAACGAAAAAATTTTATCAAAATTATTTTGTCGACGTGATCAAACATTATGGAATTTCATTCCTTTGTCTTTGATAATCCGTATCAAAAGTGTCAATGAGTTGGGCTCGATCCAGCTCATGAATCACTCATCCAATTGTATTAGACAAAATTTTTAATATATGAATGAGTTAAATAATTTTCAAAAAACAAATCTCTTAGAAAAATTTGTATAATCGAAAACAAAAAATCATTATGAACAAACTGATATAATTTATTTTAACAAGAATTCACAAAGTAAAATTACATTAAATGTTTTAAATAAAAAGTATTAATGGTGTCTCTCTGAATTTTTCCTTTTATTATATTATCAAAAAATTTGATCTTAAATTTATTCTATACAATCGATTACAGTATTAATGCTTACAATCATTGATTATATTTTAATATTATTATTATAAAATATACATGTTGTGCAATGCACTATTCTTTTTAAAAACCATCCATATGAATCTCTTCTCGCTTCGAAATATGTATTCTATTGAATAAAATAAATGCAGTCAACACTAGAGCCCGTCGGGTCCAGAATTTTTGGACCCGGACCTGGACCCTGGCCCAGAATTTTGGACCCGGACCCGGACCCGATCATTGAAAATTTTTCTACCCGGATCCGGACCGGGACCCGTTTACAGGTTGCTGGATCCGGACCCGGACCCGGACCCGGTCGCTTAAATTTTTTGGATCCAAACACAATGACAAGTCAGTTTAGATAGTATAGTCAAGAAGGGTTTTGTTGTTTTTTATCTATTTTCTAAATACATTTGATCTCTTCTTTGTATAAAACGAACAAAACTTTAAAAAAATTCAAAATAAATTGTATGGATCAAAGTTTTCTTCAGACCTGGATCCGGTTAAAGCAAAATTTTCAGACCCGGACCCGGACCCGGTCAAAATAAAATTTTTGGACCCGGACCTGGACCCGGACTCGGCCAAAGTAAAATTTTTGGACCCGGACCCGGACCCGGACCCGTGCGGGTCCGGGTAGGGTCCGGGTCCGGGTCCTACCCGGCAGGGTCTAGTCAACACACGTGTATTATCAAATAAACTTCAAAATACAATAATATCATAAATATTTTTTGTTATTCATGCACTCGTGCTATCTTTTATCACAACATTACAAACTGCTATTTCAATTTCAAACTAAAGTATAAACTTATTTATCAGATTAACTCTTCATACACTTATGTCTTTTCCTTATGGTACTGTTTCTCACAAACCAGCAAATTTTAAACCTTCTTCGTACTTCTTCATTTTCTACAGAACTGGTTTAAAGTTCATAGGGTTACGCCTACACCGGTTTTATTCACTATGTTTCTTTATTCGTATTATTTGCCTTCTCACTTCTTTTCTTTCGTTTCTATCTATCGATTATTCATTATGTTCCTTGTAAGCACTTACGAATGTTACAATAAATAGAACATAAATAAAAAAAAAATTCCATTATTCAACGGAGAACATATGTGTTTGACAGATATCAAGATTCAATGATGTTAATGTAATACTAGAAAACAAAAAATAATCTTTTTTTTTCTTCCTAAAAAAATTATATTGGTTTTCATCGATAAAAAACAACAATTGTAAATATGGCTAAAAGTCAAGGGAGGAAAAAGAGAAAATACCGTACTTCAACGTACTTTCTATACTCCCACTTTAGAAGTACAACGAAGTATTTAGGTTTTAGGGTAAGGATGGCTTACGTAAGCTGGACTTTGGCTAATATACCGTAAAATAGATTGATAAGAGACTTGAAATAGCTAAACAGATCTGATGCACAGCTATGGCTTAGTCTGGAAGTACAGAAAATACGCTGAAGTACAGCATTTTCATTTTTTCCATCTTGCTAATAGTATATTGTTTACATAAGAGTATACAAGCTATATCAATGTTATCATGACACAGAACATGGAAACATACAGTTCTTCTTGCGGTATTATGTATAATTACATTGTCAACGTCTTGTCTTTTTGTTAATTTGTATGATATTTATCGTTCTTCATTGTCAATCTTTATTCTTATTGTACTAATTTTCAAATAAACAAATCAGAATTTTTTTATTATTAAACTTAAATGATAGTTCACTATGGATATATTTTCATAAATATTCTATAACATTCAAAAAAAAAAAATAACCGATATGAATAACCTTAGTTTAATTTTAAAATAACTATCCTTTATATTACGTTAAAGATTTATTCATCATATTCTATTCAAGAATAGCTTCAACACAACGATCTCTACATGAACATAAAGGACGACAACATTTATGTGTTGTTGGACAATCACCATCCATTTTGCATAGTGGAATTAATTCTTCCGGAAGACAAACACGACGACGACACATAATAGGAATAGGAAAATCATAAGATGGACATTTACCTTCAAAAAAAGAACAACTCATAGAAATAATCTTTTATGCATATTAATACAAACATACCTTTGTGTACAAGAAGTTCACTACTTTCTTTTGAGCTAACTTCAATAAAACTACCAACCAAAAGTAAAAATAAAATAGTAAGTGAAGAAGCTAATGTCATGATAAAAAAATGAATCTAATATTCAGTAGTAGTTTCATTTTTCATAGTGTCTATATATATATGTATATAATCAATTTATGGGAAAAACGGCATATGTTTGCACTTTGATATATATTATTTTTCTAGTATATCATTTATTCGAAGTCGCAATTTGTTAAAATAAAATTTTATTTTTGTTTTCATTAAAAAAAAAGAAAAAAAAAGAACGAAGAAAGAGAAGAAGAAGAAGATGAATATTTCAAGTTTATTTAGAAATAGAAAAGGTGCAAAAGTAATTATTTGATATATATATATATATGTTTTAATACTAAAAAGAGATGAGGTTTAAAAATTAAATCTATTGTTCTATTTATTGAAATGTTTGTGTTATAATTGCTTTTTCTTCATTATTATTATCAATTAAACGTGTGACCATATGTTGACCTATACCCCATGTATCAATTCTATCAGCAACTAAATTATCATCACGTGAACTTGCTAATTGTGGACTACGTTTTGATAAAATACGAATTGTTTGTCTTGGTCGTAAAGAAAATGTTGTAGGAAATTGATAAACAATTTCAGGTTGTTGATCTATTTTACGACGAATTGTCCAATTTTGAAATGATTGATCATTACCACTATATTTTTCATTAACTAATACAACTGAATCAGTTTCTAAATCAACGGAATCGAATGATATTGGACCTACAAGGAAAAAAAAAAATTTAAAACATTTTTTTTTTCTTTTATTTAAGATTTATAACCTCGTGCTGTTTTTTGTACGGCCATTTTTTTTGTTTCTAAATTTTTACGATTTCCATCAGGATTTTGAAATGATGATGATGGTATAGTTGATAATAAACCTGATGATAATGATAAATTATGTGTTTGTGGTTCTTGTTCTATTCGATTTAAATGTTGTTCTTCAGCAGCTAATAAACCTCTATATGTTGATAATTCAAAACGAAGTGATACATTATTTTGTAAAATAGCATCAACAATATTTTGTTTATCATCAATTTGTTCTCGTATTAATAATAGTTCTCTTTCATATGAATCTTTTTCACGTAAATGTTCATTTTGAATTTTTTCAAAATCATCAATAATAGCATCTAAATCTGTTTGTAAATTATTATTTTGTTGTCTTAATTCTAATAATTCATTTTGACCATCACGTAATGATGTTGTTAAATGTACTGTATCCATTAATTCAATAGTACCTTCACTTGCTAATAA